TTAAAGTATCCATCGTGTAGGTATGTGCACTGACACTAGAAATGGTAATAGCAAGTGAAGCATCATTCCGGTGTTTGATCACTGAGGGAAGTTACTCTCTTTCTGCTGCCCTCATTGGCACTTCTCTGACAGATAAGCTCCTGAATCAGCTGCTGGCAGCAGAGAGAGAGGTTTTTCTCCTCCATCTTTACCATGTCTTCTGCTTTCCTGCAATCCATCTAACAACCTCTGCTTGTTTAGCCATGAAGAGCATGATGTGTTAGACTCGTTCAGCCATTTCAGAGCCTTATCTTGCTCACCACAGAGAAGGTAGGATCCTGTTCCCCATCTGTCTGCCCACCCCTCTCTTTCCCACCCAGCCCAGCTCTATCTTGGAACCTCCCAACAACAGTCTTCAAGGCATTACAGGAGCCTGCACCCAAAACAGAGTCTGGCTGCAGGCATTAGCCAAACAGATCTAAACAGATTTAGTTTCAAGTTGCTCTGAAAAACCTTTAAAAATGAATGTGAAGAATTTTTGAGTGCCCATTTTGTTGAGAAGTTTACCTCACACAGTTGTCCCACAATTAAGATATTTAATCTGGCTGTTGATGTGACAAACAGCAAAATCACAGCAAGGTCACATAGAATCATAGACTGGTTTGGGGTGGAAAGGACTTATAAAGATCACCTAGTCCAGCCCCCATCCTTTGGGAAATTCCTTTGACCAACACAGAAGTTGTTGAATTCTCAAGTTGGTGTGTGGTATTTTCCAAGCTATTTATTTCCTCTAGTTTCCATAACGGAGCACTGAAAGGATGAATTCTCCTCAAAAGACTCTTATTGTAATTCCTGAGTTTATTATCTGTGAAAGCAGCTTAAACATGAAGTAACAAGCATCCATCACATCTGCTGTGAGTTATGGTCTGTGTTTACGGGAACAGAAAGAGATCTAGTCTTATAAAGAAACATAGCGAATTCGGACACTTTGGAAGTGGTGGGGAGATTAAGAGAAAACCACCTCATATTTTCAATACCCTTTTTTTGTTTTTTTTTGTAATGCTGATGAAACAAAGACAGAAATGTCAGATGAGCTGCCCAAGCTGCAGAAGGATTAATCATCAAAGTTATGGTGAGGATATAAGCATGGCTGTGGCTTGTGTCCAGAGCCCACAGGACCCTGCCTGTTTGTATTCTAAACAGTTTGGGTGAAACAGCACTCAAGAGATAAAATCATTGCACAGCAATGCACACTTTAATGACTAAATACAACCTTTATTATAGAAACACCAGTAATAGAAAAATAAAGAGCATATGTTACTTCTCATGTAGCAAATTATTTTTTAGCAACCATATATTGTAGCAAGCGAGTAGTGACCAACCAAACCACCTTCACGCACTCAAGAAGCTAATCTACATCTCCCTTCCTCTTTCAACCAGAATTAACAGCTGCTTTTTAATTTGGACTTTGTCCATCAGAGAGCAAAAATGTTGCTGCATGTTGGCAGCGTTTCATGGGAGCATCCAATTGTTCCATTGGTTTACACCACATGCACTTCACCTGTGCTGTGTAAAGCAAGCCCCGTGTACTATTCACAGAAAAAAGGTCTGTGTGCAACTTAGTAAAAAAAGCCAGCAAATAATAGCAATAAAAAGCGTAAGAACAGATCAGGTAAACCTGACTCCAAAAATTGTTCAATGCCAACAGTTTGATTCATTCTAGAGAGAAAAAAGCT